CCCTCAGCGTGCGGTCAAAAGTAGATGTGACTTCGACAGTGTCCTGGAGAGTAAGGCCGACAAACGACAGTGGGTAGAGATATATCCGGGACCGACCAACTTGGTCTAAGTTGTGAATGCAGCCCGCTCGCTCCCATTGCCCATATCTCTCACTGATCCTTGTGGATGGGGGACTACAAGGAATCCCATGGTCTGATAGGGTCTGAGATGCAAGTGATAGGAGTGTATCAGGCACTGCCCATTCAATGAGCTGGGACCAAGAAGTCAGTAGAGTCCAATGAATACATTGCAAAATATAGGATTTCATCTCTTACTAGAAGGACTAAAGGGTATCCACACCGCCACTGTACCTGCGACCCGTACTCCACAAGAGGAATATTTTTGTTAGCTAGGTCTTTTCCAGCTGCTCTCATGATAGGTGCATGGGGTTGTAGTGATGGTGTCTCTTTCTGAGGTGATGGTTCCATCTTTCGATCAACAAAGACATTCCAGGTGGTAGGACTTTGAAAGTATGGTGGAGATGGCGGAAAGGTTATCGCTGCTTGATCCAAACAGGCATGGTGCAAGGAAGATCAGATCGCTCATCATTGTGTTAGGAAGGCGGTAGTTAATTCTGCCCAGCCTCCGGGGTTTAGCGTCTCTGGGATGACTGAAACGGCAGAAAGCAACTCCTATACCCCTCTCTGGGCAGATCTTAGCTTTCTCTGGCAGACAATAACTGCCAAGGGGGGTCCAGTAGAGCGTGGTTCAAAGATTTCGACCACGGAGACGGAGGAGCCCCTTGCAGTTGTTACATAATCGAGGGGCCACAGGAACAAGCACAATGCTTTATTTACCAACGGACATGCTCTCTCAAACGATGGCTTCGCTGGAATATTCCGCGCAAAATAACTGCGACTCTTCATGCTTTGCGTATATGACCGCGAGTGAAGCAATTAACTACTTGATAGAATGTCCGAGGGCGGGCGGCCAACTGAACCGGCTACAGGCGCCACCTGCTGCGACCATGCCTCCCAGGTCCCGGAAACCTGCCAGCCGACGATGGGAACCATTCGCTCAAGAGAGGTGAAACTTGAAGAGTTGGTTCCTAGAGTTACAGATGCTGAAAGGGAGGGTACGCAATTCCCATAAAACAGCGTTGCTGGCCACTAACATCTAGAAGATAAGGATGTCGACCAACTCATACCTTGGGTATTCCGGACTTCGAGAATTGTCGAGGAAAGTCACATAGAGGAGTGGCCCGGTGAGGGAAGACTGAAGGATTTCTTCAAGAACTTCATAAATTACCACGACGAAGTCCCTTCCACGGAACTCGTCGACAACCACGAGTCTCATAACACAAGGGCTCTGGGTAGTACCGTGAGGATAAGTGGCCGTGAAAGAATCACTTTGTCACGAAAAAACTGGAGGGAACCGATGAGGGAAAGGCACAAACGCTTCCTGAACTGGCAGGGCACAATGCTTAGTGATTTGATGAAGGGTATATATCAGAGCCTTGAAGCCCTTGACAATGAGGTAACTGACATCAAGTGAGTGACAAGAGCACCTTGCCTTGGCGTACTTCCAAGCTCACAGAAATCGCAGGTTTCCCATGAACAGCATCCGATTGCAGTATCAAATCAGAGGTGGAAACTATGCCGCCCAACCGGAAGGCACTGTCATCGACAAGCTAGGAGTGCCAATAATTTCATTCAATGGGGTATGCATTTGTGCCCAACTGTTGTCCATGTCATGCTGGTTATTGCCTAACTGATCCTAGTGGTATGAAGGCCAGACATGGGGTGATTCTCTGAGGAACACTCTCAGTGTGATGTTGGGCCAACTCACAAAAAGCCTTCGTCGCGGAGCTGTTTTTCCAGAACAAAGGGTTTATATTGTTGGGTTCTTTGGAAAAGAGCTTTATATTGCTCTCGGACTGTTCAGCTCCGATCTTATCACGAGAGCCCAATCGACGGGGTGCCTTGAAGATTTTGAGATTTTAATCTCGCCAGGCTACAATCTTTGTTTGCAGGAAAATTGGATTGAAGCCATCCGGGGACTGACAAGGCTGTTTCGGTACCTTCTAGGTGACCATACACGGATAGACTCCATCCAAAGCTGAATCTAGGAACGGGATACTAGCCCAAGGGCATATGACTAGGTCAAGGGGACTAAGTCTTTGACCTTTCCCAAGCTTAATTGCGCCATTTACTGGCGGACATTGCTGTGGATGTCTAGGGCTTCGGAAATGGTATTTGAATTGTCTTCAGAAAGGTTTCCCAATCATAACTATGCAAATGAACAATCAATTGTAAAGTAAACCAAACATGTAACTCCTAAGCACCTGAGGTAGCTGCGTGATCCATGAAACAGGTGGCTCCTGGCTCTCGTATAATTCCGGAGTTCAACACCAGTACACCAAATCCGGCGTGGCTCAATCTGTCAGTCACTCGGTCGCCCCAAAGCCTTCATTGCCGCATGGACAATATTTACCTTCGCTTCTCCACTAGCGATATAGCGGACTAGCGCCCACAGAATTTCCAGTGCTCCTTTTCTACCGGCTCTATCTTTCAGATCGTAGTGCGTGGATCGGCGAACCCACAAGAAGTCGGGCATCGGAGGAGATTCGCCATCCTTTAGATAACTAATATATTCCGGTGAGAAGTATGCTGTGCTAACATAAAAGAGTGTTCCGTGCAAACTAATGACGAAAGATTCCTGATCGGGCAGACAGAAACTGTTCCGTTCCATCTGAGTTTGCATACTCCCTATCATTTCGGCAACTTCCTGGGCGAATATACTAGGGTTCCACCCTTCCGGTTCTCCAGATCGCCGCTTTATCCCACCGGCGTTGCGCTGTTTGCACTTTGTCATCTAGTCAACAGAATGATGGAATGTGTGCTAGATATAAGAATCTACTTACCTCCAGATTCACGACAGGCGCTTTCGTGTTTCTATCAGAACCAGACATACTACCGGGAAAGTTGACTCCAATTAAGCCATCGTTCTCTGCCACGTATGTGGATCCACCCATCTTCCAGGTAAATCGGACCTCATTCGCCGAGCTGCAAAGAAAGTTAGTGACATTGGTCTAACCCGAGTCCAAGGACAAACAAACCATCTCAGCTGCACTCTCTTGCTCGCCGTATTGGCCAAGTTCTTGTGCTGTTTCATTCCGATCAAGGTGGTAACGACAAAGTTGCGGAGGGCGGTAGCGGCAACTGATTCACTACTGTCCTCATTGCTGGAAGTGGACAGTTCACTGGACATCGAACCCATACTTGTGGACTTCAGAAATTGCTTGTTGATAGTATCTTCGGAAGTCCCCGTTGTCGCCAATTCCGAAAGGCCAACAAAAAAGGAACAATAAGGATTTCTCTCGAACAGGTCCTCGTTATACCCTTTCAGATCATCTATGCTCGGTGCACAGATAGACTTGGCAAGCTCTGTGAACCCTTGAGGCCAGTGATAACGTGAGTAAACACCCAAGAGGAATATTTCACGAATGCATACCTTGATCTCCACCATTCGGAAAGTAATGTTCAGGAATAATCCGACTTGGATTTTGATTAAGCAGCGGGACAGCTCGCACAGCGTTAACCTCCACCTTGGACCAATCGGAGCCAGAAGAACCGTGTCCCGATGGTTTTTGCGGAAGCTTTAGATTTTTCAGTAGCGTTGCCTCTCTTTGATACTCCTGTGCCAGCGAATCTTGAGGTTCCGAGGGTGTAAGGTGCAAAGGGGGAAGGTTGTGCATCTCAAAGGATATGCTGTATATCCGAATATATAGTCGTGGAATATTAAGGCAACAAAAAGTAGAGGGGGTGTTAAAAGAGGAAAGACTTGAACTTCGTATCAAAACCAAAGCCGGGTATCTGCTATTTATATTTCAAACATTAAGAACATAGATTTGCTGGAGCACTAAAGCAAGTGAAGACAAACATTGGCTGCCTTAGAAGTATCTTAGCTCACCTGTTCATATGTAGAACAGTACTACGGGTACAATAAGACAGATATCTACTTTATAGTTAGTAAAATTTACACGCGAAATAATAGGTCAGCAGATACAGATTGGAGGACCTGCCCCCCTCAACCAATCAATACCCCAAAAATTCCTCATATGCTTGGCTGAAGTTGCGGGCGTTGAATGAACCCGCCTTGTTCTCTGCCCAAGGTCGTAAAACTCAAGGCGATCGAAAATCGATAGGAACTGAAGGTCTCGCCAATCTGAGCCAGACGACTTTGACATGGCCAGTGGTCAGGCAACTAAATCCCAGCCCGCTTTTCATATATACTCGAATCATTGCGTCGCAGCCTTGCAGGACAAAATTGTTGCTGGGCTGACTGAAAACCCCAGAACCGTAAGAAGACCGGGCAGATGCGGCCTACTGGCTTGTAACGGACGCTTTGGTCGTGAGCGACAGATCCGTTTGGAAGGCAACAGATCTTGATGTGGGAGAATGACAGGCCTCAAGCGGAAATGTCGTTCCTTGCTGGTGGGATTCTGCTTGTTTAGCACGTTTATTTCCTACTCTCATCACACCCTCCGCCAGATGCGATAACGCTTCAAGCTGTTCCTGAATTGGACGTGGTTTCGGCATTGTATGAGACTGGTGAAGCAAAAGGAGGATGGTTGTAAAAGGCATCTGGAGGAATGAGAGTGAGAGGCCGACGCCCTTGTATGCATTATTCAGAAGCCATTGATAAGGATCAAACTGTGTAGCAGCCCAACTCTGCCATGAGGTACATGGCTTTTAATAGCCCAGTGGGTGCATCCAATGTTTACATTTGCTCCTTCCGTCTGTAGTTATATATCGTTGTGCCTAGAATTCTCGTAGAGAAATAGGTAAGTGGTGGTATGTTGCCCAGAGACTGGGTTATTACGATAGATACTGTCAGATTATAGGAGAGACGTTTTTGAAGAAGAGAATAATGAAATCAAGAAGTTTGACAATAAAAAAGCAAAATTTAATAGCAATTGATAGCTGATAAGGATAAAAAACGAAGAAAAAAAGATTATAAGGTCCTACCGCGATTCGAACGCGGGTGTCCAGAATCAAAATCTGGCATGATAACCTCTACATCATAGGACCGTCTGTTCCATTCGACCATTGTAACAGCGAATTATCCATCGAGCTCCCATCCAGACATTATAAGCCCATTTTATTTTTAATGATTCTACATGGACGTAGCATCAAACTTAACAACTTTGCACATATGACTGTCATTTCATCTGATAGTAGTTCTTTTTGAATGTTGATTGTCTAACTACTTATAACAAGTTGGCAATAACAGGTCAGCATTAAGACCTACTCTACCCCACTGTTGATTTATCTTGACGCGTTGGACATGTTCGAGGTTGCATACTTCCAATTTTATATACAGAGATGGAATCAATATACGAACGGTTTCTTACACTCACGAACCACGAGAGCAGAGTACTTTAGAAGCCCGATCTTATTATAATCCATTGCTTAAATGTCTTCCGATATCTTCACTGGACGAGCTGTGTCAATCCGACCAAGTCTATAGAGGTCCACAACCCATGCGACAAAAAGCTCTACATGATAGACACAAAGTCAACCAAACCTATAGACTGGAAGTAGATGCAATTTTTGAACTACTATCGAGGATATTGGATGATGAGTGGAAAGCCAAGTTCGATGTAAAGATAAAGTAAAGGAACCTTAGCTGAGCACTCAATCGGTGGTGCTTTCCGTCTATTCATATCGACCATCTACCGCTATCATTATTCCGCAAAGTTGATGTCATCCCACTCATGAAGCACTGACATGATGATAAGCAAATTCCAGGCACCACGAGGCTGGGTCTAGGTCTTATGGTTAAGTAGAGGACAAGATCGAAGTTTTACATCGCCTACTTGACTCAGGCCAGACAAGCCGCTAATCAGACTCGCACAATGGCCTGCTTGACCTGGCTCCGGAGTGAGCTGTGGCGTTCTCCTGGTGGATGTCGGCTTTCTGTCGTCGTCTTGACGTCTTGCATTTGCTACCTGCCGAGCCCATAAACGAACAATCACTGGGGAGGTTATACTCTAGAATGGTGTTCAGGAGATTCCGTTGAAAAATGTCAATGCCTATGGCAACTCAACGACGATATTGTTTTGAATCAAGTGCAATATAACCTGCATCTGGAGCAAGCTCGCAGAAAGTCTCAAGATAACAAGGGGATAGAGCACTGTAAGATAAGGACCGTAAATACGAATAAAAAATTGCATTGGCGCAATAAGAACAGGATAATAAGCCCCTTTCGCCAAGGGGAGCCAAAAAGAAAACAAGAGAAAAGAAAGGAATCTCGCCGCGAGCCTCAGAGCCGGTCCGAACATCATTATTACTCTATACAAACTGAACAGGAATTACTCAATGACAAAGCCCTCCGCGACTGTTCTCACGACTTTAGCAAATTCGGCGCTTTCGCCCTCCTGCTCCAGCAAAGAAACGTTGCTGACATCAACCTCGACGAAGGGGGTGGCCTTGGAGAAGCGGACGTTCATGGGGAAGAACTCGTTCTCGTCGCCGTCGCCAGCAGATTCGAACTCGAAGCTGCCCGAGGCATTGTTTTCATCCACGGTTCCAATGTTCCAGTCCAGGCTATCGCCCGATACCTCGTAGACCGCGTCAAAGCTAGACACGGCTGGCTCGGTCGCACCGTACGGGATGGTAACGACAACGTCGCGCAAGGTGTCCGTGCCGGTGAGTTCGTACTCGACCGTCACCGTGGTCGAGTCCGAGCCCTTGTTCACCCAGACAGTAAAGGTGATGGGGAGAATGTCGGCATTATCCCCACCGCCGGCTACCCGCCAGCGCAGAACGCCAATCGAGTTATTTGCCGGGAAGCGCTTGGACATGTCCTTTAATTGGATTGCGGACGAGTTGGTAAAGACGGCCTTGTCCACGTTCGGGTGGGTGCGGAATTGAGCTCCGTGGGTCGGATTGGCCAGCAGGTCCAGTTTGAGCTTGGTGAGCGACGGATCGGATATGCGGAGTTGAAGATCACCCTTGACTTCAAAGGATTTCAGTGCACCCTCACGGCTTAGTGTGGCGGACAGCGTTTCGGCGATAGTAACGTGGATGGGGTCCCTGTCCGCCGACAGGGATGCGCGAGCGGACGAGGCATTGTCCCCAACGGGAGTGGACACCTGCGGGGTGACCAAGGGGCTCGATTCCTCGACCTCAGGCCCGAAATCACCCCGGACCTTCTCGTATATATCGGTAGCCTTAGATTTCTTGCCCAGCTGCATACCCTTGCCTCGTGTAACCAATGGCCTATGGTAGGAATTGCATTAGTGAATGGCTCAAGCGCTGGCGGAAGGATGATGACGTACTTGGTAAATGACTTCTTCTTCTCCGCCTCATAGGTATCATATGTATCTGGCACCGTAGGACGGGCGGGGGGCGTGTAGACGGGGTATGAGGGGGTTCGGGGGGCCATGGAACGGCCAGTGCGGGCGGCCTCCTTTCTTTGCATCTCCAGTTGCTTTGCCTTGCGCTTGCGCTCCTCGCTGGCTTCGAGTTCCTTGTTCTGTTTGACGAATCAGCCGGCCATAACGGTGTGCAGTCCAAAAGATATGTTACCCTCTCGATGATCTCCTGGATCCTTTCCTCATGACTCTCCATCTCCAAGAACGTCTTGATTTGGGAAAGGGACAAATTCTCCCGGTAGCCCAGTGTCACCAGTTCGTCAAAGGCACTGAGCAGGTCGAATGCATTGCGCAAGATCTCCCGCTCATCCAGACTCTTACAGATGCTGGTAGTGACTTGGGCGAAAAGGTGTAAGCTGTCGATGTCTTGGAGGATGTTCGATTGGCGGTTGGTGATCAAGACGATATAGAGCTCATCGAGGGGTTGATAAACAAAACGGACATTGTCTTGCTCAACTGTCGTGTGCTGAGTACCGGCATCGGCAAGTTTAGGGAAGGACGCGAGGAGAGCTTCGATTCTCGAGCGGGCGATTTCGCGGAATTGACGCGAAAGCACTGCTTTGCCCCCGCGGGTGCATATGGACGCTGCGAGGACAACCTGTGTGGAAGGGTGAGGAGTGATTAGCGCGAGGGGGAGGAATTGGGATGCCCTTTGAAAAGGGAAGCAAAGTCATTCGAACATACCATGTCTGTTCAAAGGGTCGGCAACGTTGGTTCCCAAGAGATCTAGCACGATGGCGGCACTTTACAGATTGGGGAGAAGGGGGTGGAAAGCGGACAACAATCGGGATAGATCGAACAAGTAAGTAAGTTGACTAAACTGCTTGCTGTTCTCTTCGGCCGCCCTTGGCCCGTGCACGACACTACCGCCTCGCTTACTTTCTCATTCAAAGCACAAGGAGCGTCGCCGCTTGCGACTTCATTCTTTCGGATCATATCTCTTGGATTTTTCCACCTTTCTCATATTAAACTACAACCTATTCGGAAATACTTGGGTGTTATTTCTATTTCTCTGTTTTTCTTCTTTATCTCTTATTGTTCTCTCGCTTGTATCCACGCCCGTAGTTACCCCCCCGACACTCGAAACGCCACGCTTGAATTTGGACGCGTTTCCCCCCTCCCCTGACCTCTCTGTTGTTCCCTACATCACTCATGTCATGACATCTACTCCATCAGTAGCATTTCCTGCCATGGAGGTTCCCGCGCTGGATGACTCGATGGAGATGGCCTCTCCATATCAAGGCCATGCCGATGATTTTGACATCGACATCGATATCATGGAGGATCAAGCCTCGAACGCAGATAGAGACATGACTGCAGTTGATGACTACATAGAATCGATCGACGGTACAGACTACAACCAAGAAGGATCAAAGGACGCAGACATGATCGATGACGCAGAGTCGGTCATGGTCGATGCCGAAGACCACTATCAGGAAGACGACTATAATATGGAGATGAAGGACGAAGAAAAATCTTACGAAGCGGACATGTTGGAAGATGACTACGATGAGGATATCGACGCCCCTGTCACCGACCAACAAGAAGAGCCCGCCCCGCCTGTTCAACCTGAACACGACCAGCACCCTGCACCTCCGACCGTGACCGACGTCGATATCGAAGAGACCGAAAAGCCCGCCGAGACAACTCAACCGGAAATTACAGTGGAGCATGTGGATGAGCCCAGCGTGGAGGTAAATCAAAGACAGGAGCAAGCTAGTGATTCAAAGGAGCTTGGTTCCGCGGCACAGGGAGTAGATGCACCTGGATCCTGGCACGCGGAGGAAACCCGCGACGGAACTAACCCAGATAGCCAAGAAGGCCCCCAGGAAGCATGGAGAGGTGATTCTACTGATCACGTTGCGGGTACGAAAGACCCACAAAACGCAGACAGTACTGCGGCGGAAGGATCGAGTCTAGTCAAGAATAATGAAGAGCAGGGAGTAGTACAGGAGAATGAGGAAGAGGAAAAGGCATCTGTGCCAAAGGAGATCGAAGCTCAAAATGAGCAAGAAGCAGCGCCACAGCCCGATACGACTGGGGATTCTTCATTATATCCGATCAAAGTCTATTATCAGGATAATGAAATCTCCTTGTTTCCACCCCGGGAAGGCGACACTTCGGAGACATTCTTTCTCGAAGATGAGTCACTTGCGCATGGACCATTCGCAAAGCTCTTTGAATCCTGCCGTGAAGTCCTTCACGACCACATTGGAGATAACGAAGTCTTAGTGATGGACGTGGATGCCTTGAATCTCCAACTTAATGAGGTTTGTCTTCCCTTCTGAATAATCCTTGGAGTCTCAGGACTAATTTTGCTGTCTTAGGATTCCTACGACACATCGAAGGTGACATTGAATCAAATCGTTCATTTGTATCTGCAGCTGTGCCACAATGATGGAATCGATGAGCCCGAGGCGCTTTACCTTACACTGAGCACGAGACTGACCATTGCCGGTGCAATGTCTGATCTTCTCTTAGCTGCAAGCGAAGGGAAAGGCCTCTCTGAGATTCACTCTTGGGATGACTTTAATGAAACAGATGCAGCCGAAGCAGATTTTCCCGAACAGACGCAGGAGCCTACATCCGAGCAACCCATCCAACACACCACTGAGCAGCAAGAGCCCCTCTCTAAAGCCGACGATGCTTCCG